ACAACACCAAAATGCTGAACTCATCCATAAATGTCATAAAATTCATAAATATCGCTGTAAAATGTTCATTGTATTTGCTGAAGTGATTTAGGTCAGCCTATATCTTAAAATGCTTGTGTGGGCTTCTGTTATTTTATTGAAGGCCTGCCCAATTCCCTGGCAAAAAGCGAAATGAATAGTTTAGCTTTAGAGCCCATGTTTCTTTTTATACGCTTGCGGAAGGTATTAAAATTTCAGTGAAAAGTTGACGAAAACCAAAAGGAAGATCTCTTCGTCCGATACAAATGCACCTAGTTTCATTTCAAGGCCGATATTTTTATACCCTTGCAGAGGGTATCATAAATTCAGTCAGAAGTTTGCAACGCAGCGAAGGAGACAATTTCGACCCTATATAATATATAAATAATCTTAATCCACTGATGTTGGCCTATGGGGACCACCCGTTCCACTAATTTTTATGCTGGATTTCCCCATAGATGTACTGTGGGCAAAAAAAAATTTACGAACATTTTATATAAGTTTCTGTGCAAAGTGTTCTTTAACTTACTTTTCCCACTGTATGTATATGAGTGGTTTTCTTTTTGCGCCCCTCAGGTCAAATTAAAGTCAATATATTATATTATTAAATGGCACTTGTTCATTTAATTACATTTTTTGCTTAAGGCTTGGTGTTCAGGCTACTAAAATTGCTCCCAAAATATAAAACGTAATAGCACACAAATTTTGGTGGCAAATTTTTGTTTTCGTCTTTGGACAGCGGTACTCAGGCTACCAAAGACAAAACATTAAAAATACTCCTCAAGAAATAGTTTATTGAGCTATCGACTGTTATCGATATGAAACCGCCAGACTCAAAAATGAATTTAACAAGTCAAAAGCGCAATAAATCTTTCGCAGCAGAGACAATATTTAATCGATCTTTAAATAAATAACAACGGCAGCCCTAAGCATCAGTTTTTATTGATTTGAATAGTCAAATATACACGTCGACAGTTAAATATTTGGTTTCTGTTAAGCCAGTGTGAACAGGGCCGTAGCTAAAATGCATCTCCATCTCCGGAAAATCCAAAACTGAATCACAGCTAATACATTCACAAAGTTATGTATGTATGTAATGTCACTAAATAAAGCAGGGGTGCTCAAGCCTATGCATAGTGGACACAATTGTTTTTGTAAGTTCACACTGCTTAGGGAGAGGGAGATGTGAGGGGCGGCACAATAGGTTTGCTTGCTATACACTAACAACTTTTCGTTTCTTCCTTGCGGTCCCATTCGCTACTGATAAGACCGAGCCAGGGCAACAACAATTTTATTGGGCCATTTGTTTTGCATCGCGAAATTGTTTTTGTTTTTTCCTTGACGCTACACTGACTTGGTTTCTTGTGTGGGAGTGTTTTTTAATTGTTTTGCTGCAGTTTGAGCACCACTGAATCAAAACAGAATGGAAAGCTACAGTCGAGGGCCCCACCATTAAACAACATTTACTCAGCAAACAAATTTTGAAATAACAAATATGCCTATTGAAAATAACCGGGTTTTAGGTGGCGAACGATGAGGCAAAATTTACAATAACGCTTATAGCTAAAATAATGGTCGGATTTACATCATTTTTATACGAGCCGATAGATATTGACCGAATAAACAAATACAGCCTAATTACTGACCTCTATCATGTGTGACATGTGTTTTCCATGGCAATAGAACTGCAAATAGTGTCAAACTTTTGGCCATATTTATGAACTTGAAATGGAGTATTATTATTTTTGGATATCTTTGTAGATGTACATACTTGTTAGTCCTAAAATCCCATCTGTTCCAACAAAACAGACCATCGAGTTTGGCGTGACTACACAACTTCGTTTTCAATTAATTGAACCCATCTTTCTATGATTTTAATAAACGTCCGTTTAGAAACAATTTTTTTCATTCGGACAGCTTTTAATGTACTTTTAAGTGCTTCAGAGCAGGTAATTAGCATAATATGCGTACTCAACAGTTTCAAGGCTTAATCCTATGTGTGAAAATATGCTTTTAATGAGAACCTTTTGAACTTCCAAGCCAAGAGATGGTATCTTTCGATGGGACTATATATTGCGGCGGCGATGTGATTGTCTTTTTTTAAGCATACACTGTTGACAACTACCCTAGGAAGCAAACTCAAACCGGAAAATTCAGATTTCATTAGATCTTTTGCGCATTGACAACAACAATCAGCCCATCATCATCGTCAATCATCCCCTTCTTTTAGGCAAAGTATTGGACAGATAAACATCACATTAGTGTGATTCCAAGCCGATTAGCCTAGTTAAGCCGGAGTCTGAATCTGAACTCCGCCGAAGTTGCTTATTCATTGACAGCTACGGCCAAAAATCTGCTACCTCACCGTTACTCCGTGCTTTGAATAATTCCCCGGTGAGTAATAAGTACACTCAAACTGGGTGGTGGTAAAAATCATAAGCAAAATAGGCCCGAATATATTTGGTGGTCAAAACACAGAAAAAGCCCTTATAGCAGAGCAAACAAAAACACATACAATAGCATTGAACGCTCTATTGAAAAATGTAATATAATTCATCGCTTGGAAAATAAGTTAGTTCTTTAATTTTTTCGCAAACTGATTGTTTTGTAATTGTTGTATATTGTTAGGGAATAAACAACACATTTAAGTTAGCTTTTACCATTAAATTAAAGTATGTATAAGGCTGTGATTTTGAAATCTATATCGAGAACGGAAGCTTCTTCGATCATCCAAAGGTTGCAGTTACATAGAGTTTTCTCCGACCGGCATCTTAGGAGCAAAATGGGTCCTCGGCAAGGGACTAAAGCCGGCAGGGGTGCTCCGGAGCGGCAAGGGATGCTCAAGGGGTTGGAAAGGTCACGGCGTCCCTTTTCTGGGGCTGTCATAGATCACTTTACCCCTCGCGATCTCGTTTTGAATGCCCCTCGGGGCGTAACAAGCATTGCCTGGTGTCGTAAGGGCCACTTGTTTGTACTGACCATAGTGCATCAACGACCACAAAGAGACGGAGGCGAATGCTACCTTAATATAAATGGTCTTAAAACAATAGTTTTAAAACTATAAGAAAAAGTTATATATTATGTTATTTTATTATACGGTTTCTTTTGAACTTTTGTATATATAGTCTTTACTTTTGATATGTAGCACATGTCTCTAAAGCATGTATCACAAAGTTAGCGAAGAAAATGTTATAATTAAACTCTTAAGAGATAATGGAATAAAAATGGTCACTAATTGATAAAGAGCCTTTAAAAACATAAAACATATTTATTTAGTCGGATGCTTGTTCATTTTGTATGTTGAAAGGGGCGGAAAGCGGACTTATATTTTTATACTTTACTCATAGAATAAATAGCAATATTGTAATCGTTGAAAACTATGTAAGAGGCAAAATAAAGTTTTTTCCTATACACATTATATATATATTCTTGATCAGGATCAATAGACAAGACGATCTAGCCAAGTCCATCTCTCCGCATGAACGTTGAAATCGGACTATGATGATGTATAGCTGCCATAGGAACTATCGAATAAATCATCATAGCTTTACTTTTGTTAAACATAAATCATTAAATTCGGAATACGGCTGTATTAAAGAATTTTAAGTATTTGGAATAGCTGCAAGGGTATATAAACTTCGCCTGGCCGTTTGCTTCCATTCCCTGAATTACATATTTTTTAGCCATTTTTAGCCTTTTTTTCCAAAACTAGAGATTATGGGCAGCACTGCCAGGAACAGCAAGAAGGTCACGTAATACATCTAAGGTACCTTTTGAAGAATTACCATGTCCAAATTGAAGTAAGTAGTCACGTAGTTCGGAAAGAATTCAACGTTTTCAATGAAGCATTCAGAATTTTCTTGAATACAATCGAACTTTTGTACAAATTTTTTGTTTTTATAATATATATTTTTATAATGTGTACCTAACGAACATTCTATCTATTACAATACATGTTATGTTTGTAATGTTTTTACATTACATTTCCTTTTATTTGAATTTCCCCAAAGCCGGTGGTATAAGCTTTTATTATTATTCTTTTATACTCCACTGTGCCGCTTTGTGTGAAAGTCCTATTTAGTGCTTCTTTCATCATTTGCGCAGGTTTGAATAGCCTTTGTATTGTTCTCTCCATTCAGGGCCCAAACAATACGCTTTTCTTTCCGCTGGCTTGTACTTTCTTTCTTGACTTCCCTTGGCCCTCCCTCACGACGGCCTCCCCACAAAGCTGAATCCATAACCATGGTCCTGCTACTTTTCACTCGTATTTTAGAAAATCGCTTTGGCAAAGGCTCTTACGTCCTCTTACGTACGTTTAACATTAGTTTGTGCGCATCAGGTCCGACCGGACCCAAAAAGAATGAGATCCTACAAACCAAATTTATACCCAGAGAAAATTCCAACGTTCAGAAATTGAGAAATTGTATTCTTAAATTGAGGATATACTCATTTCGAGTACAGATTTTGCCCAAGAACTCACATATGAATATTTGTACTCATTTTAGGAAAAAATACTAAAGCTGAGGATATATTCAATTAGCTTATCGTATAACGATGCCTGGTATTACTTTTATGTGTAAACTTATTCACGAAGAAGTGGAGAGTCCCGAGTTACTGAGTCGCCTACATTTCTCTGTGCCTAACAGAACTACGAGGAACTATATTCCTCTTATTACCATTGTCGATCAAACTATGATATGCATGAACCTTTTAGAGTACTATGTAGTGACTATAATAAACTCTATCACATCATCTATCTATTATTATAGTATGTAGTATTTTGTTTCGTATGTATTTGGTATTTTTCCGTCCGCTCCTTTATCGTCCCTTTTCATTCGAAGATTTGAAACAAAAGTAAATATGGCGCGGTATATAATATATACAATTTTGGAAAATATCAAAAAAAATTATCCTTTTGAAAAGAAAACATTTTTTGGTTTTCTTTATTCTCAACTCATTAAAGTGTAGGCTAAGGGACTCACCTGACTAAGTAATCTATTTCTTATTAGTTGAAGTTGTTTAATCATCTCCAAGTCAGAGTGTTCCTTCTCATTCGTTTGATCTTCTTCAGGAGGCGGCATATCGGCATTTCGGCGGTCCCTGTAAGGACAATTTTAAGTTTTTTGGAATTAAATAGTAAAAACTGTGTGGTGTTTTTTTAAACGTTTCATTGTATCAGTGGTCGGAAAGACCTATTTAGGCTAGGGCCAACACGGCAGAGCAGCAGCAGCACGGCGGCGGAGGCCGACACAAACAGTATAAATTCGCACACACTGACAAGTTTCGCCGTGCAAATTACTCACACAAAGAAGTGCGAGCATGTTAGTATGTGTGCCGACCACTGCATTTAATCCAAATCTAAATTGTATGATATGTACGTTTGTATATATGTACAAGTATACCCAAAAATGTTGTTTATGTCGATTAATTATTATAATTATTATTAATTATATTATTATTATATATCGTTATTACGAAAGCAAACACATTAACATCAAAGAATACTCTAATTGTATAAAGCAAGCTTTATATAAAGTTTACATTTTGATAGTGAACGGTGAAGAGCGAAGATAATTGTCAACTAACAGCTTCCGATACATTTCGACGGAGGCGGGTCTAAATCGAAATTGCATTTCTAATTTAGACCTTCCTGTTGTGTGGCAATCCACAATGCTGAAAGTTTTCCGGTAAAGATTGCCAATTTGGGAAAACTTCCTTTTTTGGAAAATTGGCAACCTAATTATATTAGACCTGCACACCGAAACAACAGAAATGTAGTTCAGAACAGCTTGGTGCTGGTTGCTAAGGCAATTTATTCTTATCCTCCACTTGTCATTTACTGACGGAGCAGTATACATACATTCAAATTTAAATCATAATTTTTTAAGCAAGCTTAAAAACCATACCTCGCTGTTGGAGCAGATTAATGAATTGAAACTAATGTCAAACAAGAAAGAAAGCAAACTGCGGCAAGCCGAAGTTCATATACCCTTGAAGCTTTTCCAAAAATTAAATATTCTTGAAAACATAAAAATTATGATTTACTTGCTTATATGTTTGAAAGCATTGAGCTATGATAGTTCGATAGTTCTTATATTTTAAGATTTTAATAGAATTAAAAGCGTAAATCTGAACTGTCAAATTATTAGTAAGTCGAAAAGAATTTAAAAAAAAATTACAAAATAGAAAAGTTGCATTAAAAAAAAATTGTTTTTAATATTTTTATTGTTTTTATTGGAGCTATATGATATAGTAGTCTTATTTTAATGAAAATTAAACCTTAATTCTTAATCATTTCTACATGTCGAAGAACTACAAAAAAAATTTAAAAACACCAAAGTTATAATTTTTTTATTTAATTTCCCGATTGTTCCTATGGGAGCTATATGCTATAGTCATCCGATCCGACCCGTTCCGACTTATGTACTACCTGCAATAGAAAGACAACTTTAGGGAAAGTTTCATGCAGATAGATGCATAGAAACGGACGGACAGAAAGACAATCGGACAGACGGACAGACGACTCTCCTAGTGATGCTAATCAAGAAATTATAATACTTTCTGCAAGGGTATTACACGGACGATATCATATATATACACGAAAATGGAATCAAAATTACCTTAGTTCATGGCCGATATTCTGAAGAGCAAAGTGATACGATCTTATTTCGCGTGGTGGTTCAATTTACAAAGTGGAAAGCTGTTTTTCAAAAGTCTGCAGGATGCCAGCAAAGGCCTCTTCGTGGACTGCTCCCTTTGGTCCGTATTCATTTTTAATGGCAGCACGTGTTTGAGCCACCGCATTAGGGCTACTACCACTGCTCGTAAACAATGCTGGCCTGGCCACAATCAATAGAAGAGACCACATGTCAAGGGAAGGCTAGGACCTCAATTGAAAATTCATTATTGCACCAGGACGTTTTTTATGTGTTTTGGGTGTTTTTTGTGGCGCTTCAAAGGGGGGGAAACAATATTTATTGTATGCACCTTACGAAAAACACGCCAATCAACCACGTGCCTACTTAGTGAAATCGGACACACTCGCCAAAGGGATGAGTAACAGCAAAAAAATACAAAATCGATTTACTTAAAATTTTAGCAATGAACATTTTGCAGATATAGGTGTGTGTTCTAACATATGGAATACCAGAATGATCGGACCAACCACATAATACATAACTAATGATGGGGTCGTAAGCTAATCCGTTAATATTATACTTTACTTTATTATAAATAAGATTTAAATAAGTAAATTAAGTCATAGGTACGAATTACCCTTCCCTAAAATAATCTTTAATTTTAAGAGGTTTCCAATTTAAGTTTTTCTGAAAAGTGTATATTGCCACATAGTCGCTAGGTTTTTACATATTGATATATGAGCGTACATTTTCCAATAACTCCTTTTGTCCTCTTTGTTTGTATACTTACGCACTTTCCGTAACTAATTTGATATTTATTTGTTTTGTATTTTGGGTTTCACTCGCCGACCCTCTCAGTCGCTTGACTACAAGTATTTCGATTTCGGAAACAAGAACTTACCTTAACCATACAGGATGTAATTTTTTTAAGTTACACTCGTTTACGGTGTATAGGAGGCTATAAATATTGGTATTTTAATATAGGAGAGGGAAAGAGCCAAAGGAGAAGTGTATTGAAGTGAATTTGCGGAAGCTATTTGTAAGTGTACAAGTCAATATTTGCGTCTACAACTGTGTGAGAACATCCACATAGACGGGTTTATTTGTAAGCCTCTATGTGCCTCTATGTGCCTCTATGTATGAAGGGATACGGAGATACGGAGAAAAAGCACTATACCCCGTGCGGATGGAGTCGCAGAGAGCGGAAGTCATCATTATAAATAAAATGTTCAGTTCAAAGCGAATCGGGAAAACAATCATTTGTACTTGGAGTGAAGGGCATGGCAATTCGGAATCTAGTGCATGGGACAGAACTTGTGCGGGTCTTCCGTGCGTAAGATACTAAATATAAATTATGGATACATTATGCAGATTTCATCGTGACAAGCTACACTTCCTTGTTTTATTTTGAATTGAACCTCTTCATTCATTAATGCAAAGAAAGCTATTTGGATCCCGCTAAGGATTCTTTTTGGGGCTTCTAGTCTAATTCGCTAGAAGCTTTAATGCTTGCAAGGATCTGTTGAGTCCGCATCAATATATATGGTATATTTCCATAATAATCATCACAACAAGATAAGAAGCAGGCTAACACTGCAGCTATTGCAAAAATTAATATTCCTTAATACTTCGAAACTTTGATTTACTATACATGAGTACATGCTCAAAATCATTAAAGCTATGATTGATCTTCAGCAGATTCGCAGATTCTTAAACCATTACTATATCCAACAGAATTAAAAAAAATATTTAAATAAAGAAGAACGAGCCGGATCGGACGACATATAGTAATGATTAAATAATTCAGAATTACGCTTTTAATTTTATTTAAATCGGAAAACGATATCATATAGCTGCCATACGAACTATCGAACAATTGAGCTGCAAATCTTCATAGCCTCAAAGTTTTTAGACTCACAAGATTTCAAGAATATATATATAGCTGCAAGGGTATATGAACTTCTGCTTGCCGAAGCTTGCTTGTTGTTATTATTATTAATTGTCGTAAGGCCAAATTTAAATTTGAATATATGTTACGTATTTGGCTCGAAAGTAAGGCAGAGCTTTCAGATCCTTTCTGTCTGCCTAGGGCTATGAACGGATCAAGGGGCTCTTACAAATCGCAGTTCAAAGAGAGGTTGCCTTTGTGTGGATGACTGTTTTGTTACTGAATGCGCATTGTGTGTGTTCTGTTTGTTTGTTGATGGTGCACTTGTTTGGTCAAAAAGCCGCAAACAAAAGGCTGACTGGACCGCGCACAGCCCACAGTCCACAAAGGACTACATTTTCTGCTCCGTTTATCCGGCCGTCCAGACTTCCATCCGCTGCCAGGCTTATGTATTATTTATGCCTGCTTATGTTTGTGCATTTCTATCTAGCACCAGCCAACCCCAAGAAAAGCTCGCACATTTCCATTCACATACACTTGACTATATCCAGTTCTGTCTATTACCGTTTGGTTTGAGCTGCCACCAACTAGAAAAATTAGATGCTGATCAGTGCGACTCAGCCGCTGATTGGGGCTTTTCCCTAAAATTTTGTAATGCAGAATGTAGTGGATATATTGGACGGACATGGCAATCTGATCAAGAGTATATATACTTTATAGGGTCGGCAATGTCTTCTTCACTGCTAATATAAAGGAAAATGCATTCTCAAAATGCATACAGAAAAAAATTATTTTTTCAAACAAAATGTTTAGTATAAAAAAGAAACACAACTAAGCTCTAGACAAAAATATTCTTAAGTGATGGCCTGGGTGGTAAATGTATTGGAATGTCAAACATTGGGTAAACAACTCATTTTTTTAATTTTCTGTTTTCATGTTAATTTTAATTTTTTATTAAGCTGGCTTTATAATAAGAGGGGATGTTACAGTCAACATGAGATACCCGTAACTAGGCTTAAATATGGTTCGAATTGACAAATTTCTGAATGAGTCGAAAGATATGAACCAAATAAACAACTCGCTTCTATCAGATCGCAAAGTGACATGACAGACTTTCGCAATTTGTGGTCGTTGGAATGGGAGACCAAATTTTTAAATAAACTTGCGATGCGTAGGCAAATTTTATAGTTTCAAGATCTTGACTTTCATACGGACCGACAGACAGACGGACATGGTTAAATCGACTCGACTATCGATCCTGATCAAGAACATATTTTATACCTATAAGAAACACTTTCTTGTACCCGCTAAATATACCCTTTCACTCTACGAGTTACTGGAAAAAATTGTTTAGACATGGCGGATAAAAGTTTTTGAATCTCAATTTTGCAAACTAAATATTTATTTAAGAAATAATTAAATTTTACAAAAATATTAAATATTCCTACCGCGCTAATAGAGTTGCAAACCGCGCTTTCTGCTAAATGTTTTTTTGTTTAGAGTATTTGATACTCAATACTCTCCTTCTTGTTTTTTGCCAAACTCAAGGGTAAATACACTGCGGTCTTACTTTAATAAAATAAAACCTGTCTGCACGTAAGACTAAGCGGATTATATACACACACAAATAAAAAGGTTAGAATGGGAAAATAAAACTTGGGTAAAATATATTCAAAATTAAGTAAATACCATACTCGTTACAATATAATATAATATTAGCAGAAATAATTATTTCTATTATTTTGTTTTTCCCAAAATGAAACTTATTCCTGTCACCTTGTAACATTGAATCAAATCAAGATTAGAATCCATTTTAAGACCCTTGCAGTGGTATTGTAATTTTATCACATAATATCACAATAAATAAATTAAGTGAAATAGTTGTTTCACCATGTCAAAAATACATTTTTAATTTTATGAAAATCCGATGATTTTATTATACTGCTGAAGCCGGAAGGAATGGAAAATTATTATAAAACTTTTCGGAAGCCGCCTGATTGGACGCCTAAATCATATAACTCCCATTAAAACAATTGAAAATAAAATGATCGAATTATTACTTTTCTGTTTTTTTTTAATTTATTTGAATAAAGACATAGTAATTTATTACTATTTCAGAAATACGCTTTTAATTTTAGTAAAGTCGGAAGGCTATTTTATATAGCTCCAATAGGAACAATCCGAAAAAATAAAAAAATTACATTTAAACGAATAACCACTGGGCACTGAGCTCCCTGGTTTTTTGTATTTAACCATTTTTTTTTAAGTGTAAATTAAAAGTTTAAAGTTTAAAAAAAAATCTGATGTTCCGACAACATAAATTAATTCGTTCAAAATAAAACAAAATAAACCGAAAATAATTTTATCAAATCGGCTAAGCAGGTTAAAACGATATTTGAACTTTAAAAAAAATGGTACCATACACAACACCGTCCGTCTGCACTGGAAAACCAAGGTTTGATCTCTAAGAGCTTTCATTGATTTAAATACGTAAACCAGTGTAGTTTAATATATAAAAATTACAATTTTATTTAAAAACAAGAAAGAAAGCAAACTTCGGCAAGCCGAAGTTCATATACCTTTGCAGCTATCGCAAGAATTAAATATTTTTGAAAACATTAAAATTATGATTTACTTGCGTATATGTTTAAAAACATTGAAGCTATGACGATTTGCAGCTTAATTATTTGATTGTTCTTTTATATATTTTTATTATTTGTATGGGAGCTATATGATATAGTCGTCCGATTTTGATGAGATTTAAACCATAATTCTGAAATATTTAACCATTGCTATCTGTCGAAGAACTAAACAAAAAATTAAAAAACAGCAAAGTTATAATTTTTTTTCAATTATTTTTCCGATTGTTCCTATGGGAGCTATATGCTATAGTCGTCCGATTTTAATGAAATTTAAACCATAATTCTGAATTATTTAACCATTGCTATATGTCGAAGAACTAAACAAAAAATTAAAAAACAGCAAAGTTCTAATTTTTTTTCAATTATTTTTCCGATTGTTCCTATGGGAGCTATATGCTATAGTCGTCCGATCCGGCTCGTTCCGACTTATATACTACCTGCAATAGAAAGACAACTTTTGGGAAAGTTTCATGCAGATAGCTTTAAAACTGAGAGACTAGTTTGCATATAAACGGACGGACAGACGGACAGACGGACGGACAGACGGACGGACAGACGGACGGACAGACGGACATGGCTAGATCGACTCTACTAGTGATGCTGATCAAGAATATATATACTTTATAGGGTCGAAAACGTCTCCTTCACTGCGTTGCAAACTTCTGACTGAAATTATAATACCCTCTGCAAGGGTATAAAAAACAAATAAACGATATCATATAGCTACCAGAGAAACGTTCAAAATATTCATCGAAAAATCGATATAGTAATAGTTTACTGTTTCAAAAACCAGAAAACGATATCATATAGCTACCAGAGGAACGATCAAACTATTTATCGAAAAATTAATATTGTTTCACTTTTTTTAGACATATACTCATACATATCGAAATATAGTCGTTTTATAAAATATTTTATTATGCAATAGTTGCAAGGGTATATAAACATCGGCTTTCCGGGTTTGCTCTTTTCCTGTTGAATTTGTTTGTTAATATTTAAATACACAGTAAAGAGAGTAAAGTATATTCTTGCAAAAGTGCGCATGTACGTAAGCTGAAGAATTTATTATACCAAGAGAGTCGATTTAGGTCGTTCTGTTTGTGTGTTCCGACAACTAACTCGTCTTTACTTTAAAAATCGGTTTTCAAGCCAGTCATTTGCGTAAGAAAGAAGAAAGTATCCGATTCCAACAGTCGGCTACACCCCAAAAAAACACACAGAAACTAAACTATTGTTACATGAAATATAAAAATGTTCTCTGTAGTTTATTGTCAAGACACATTTAATAAAACTTAACTTTTAGTTTTTGTTAGTGTAAACTTTACATGGCCCTCTATTAAAATGAATGGTATTTCATACAATTTATTCTGTGTGTAGTATAGGAACACAATCGAAATACGTGCGAGCCTGTGATCCGTAAGAGATGTCGCTTAGATGACTGCAAATCAGTATGGTATTAGGAAAACTTCATCCCCTTTCAGCAGCTCTTGTCATCAATGTGAGAATGCGGTAAGAAACCAGACAGAATAATACGCCACAAAATTTCATTGCATCTACGTGAAAGCCAAGGAAATAAGTAATAATAAGTACAGCGCAGATGATGATGAGCCAGAGCTCTGATGCTTCTCGAAGCCCAGTAATCCGCAGGGTGAGTCAATACAATAAGCCCAATGGGGTGCGACAAGTGTAATAATCGCTGACGGACTTGATGGCCACTACATGACCCGACACCGGCTTGACCCCAAGAATGTTGTTCAACTAAATTAGTTCGAATTTGTTTGGGGCCAGATTCTGCCTTCAATTGCGTACCGGATTTTTTGTTGCATTTCTTAGCACACTTTAATTAGCACCAGCACTTAGCCAACGTAGCTCTTACAGATCTTAAAATACATTATACACATTAAAGCCGTGCAAAAACATATATCAAATAAAATAAAACAAATTTTAAATACGCCCATACCTTGTACAGCCTTTTAGCCCTCTAATTTAGGACGGAGAAGGGAAGGGAAGTAAATAATATGTTATTTGTGGAAGGATCGTTTGATTCATTCGACCATCGTTAACAGTACACATTATGTGACAGTCGAATTTTAGTTTTAGGTCAAGAAGAACTCCTAATTCGTTGACCAAATATATACTTACTAAAATATGTATTCATAACATCTGCCTGCATTTTGTTATAAAGTCCTTTAACTACAAGGGATGTCAATTCACGTAGGTTCGTGGTAGTTGACCTTCGCGTAACAAAACCATGAAGAGTAATAATTGCAGACCAGTTAAAAATACCTCAATAATGTTGAACATCCGAATTTCATCCCTTTTTTTGGAGTGGAATAATTAAAGAATCTTTCCAGATAGTTGCAAAAACTGATGTTGAGGTAGACAATTAAAACAGTTTAAGAATAGGTTTTGAAATTAAAAGAAAACTTTTTTTTTATTTTTAGTGTTTTTGCAAATTTTTTAAAAGTGGACTCAACTTTTAATGTATAGCAATTGACCTAAAAAGTCGTTTTCGAAATAATTAATCAACAAAAAAGTAAACTTTTCTCAGTTCGGCTGCCTTGTTATGATTTTTTTTTCCAAAAAGTATGCAGCACAAATTTGGTTGGGAAAATGTTATAAACAATTTTTTTTTAAGTTAAGAAAAAAAATGTTCACTTCAAAAAATATACATTTATAAGTCGGAACAATTCGCATCGAACGACAATATCACATTGAAGGAGACATTTCCGACCCTATAAAGTGTATATATTCTTGATCAGCATTGATCTAGCCATGTCCGTCTGCACGTCCGTCTGTTTGTCCGTCCGTTTCAATGCAAACTAGTCTTTCAGTTTTAAAGTTGTCACGTTGTATTTAAGTCTGAACGAGCCGGATCGGACTCATATAGCTCCCATAGAAACAACCGGGAAAAATGTTAAAAAACATATATCTTTGCTGTTTTTTTCGATATGTAGTAATGACCTATTGTTCTAGAATCACGATTTAAATTTCATTAAAATCGAACGACTGTATCATATAGCTCCCATGGGAACAACTGGAGTATTAAAAACTTGAATAAACAAAATTGTAACTTCTCTAATTTAAAATTTTTTTTTAGTTTTTTTTCCACATAGTAATGGTTTAATAGTTTACAATAACGCTTTTAATTTTATTCAAATCGAAATATATGAAAGCTGCCATAGGAATGATCGAATAATAGAGCTAAACATCATGATAGCCTCAAGGTTTTTAAACAAATACGAATATATTTCGAAATTTATGTGTTTTAAAGAATATCTAATTTTTGATATAGCTGCAAGGGTATATAAACTTTGGCTTGTCGATATATGGATATGGGATACTCCTGTTTTAATTTCAATTATTTTGGGCAATGGTATCATATAACTACCAATGAAAAGATGGAATAATTTATCTGAAAATCATCATTGCCTTACTGTTGTAAATCGAAAATCGAAATTTGTAAACGTCGCTTAGCTCGCTAAAAAATCGTGACGATCGCTAAGAGGTGATTTTTGATACAGAAGGCTTTTCAATCTACTTACCCAATTCTATTATCGCTTCGCAATCATAGTGAAGGCATATTTCTAAGAGCCTAATCGTCTACTGAGCCATTTTTTAAGGTCGTCTCTGAAACGAAAACCAAATCGGAAAACGATATCATATTGGTGTAATAGGAACTATCGCATTATTGAGCTGCAAATCATCATAGCTTCAATGTCTTTAAACATATACGCAAGTTAATCATAATTACAATAGCTGCAAGGGTATATGAGCTTCGGATTGCCGAAGTTAGCTACAGTCCTCGTTTTTTTGTAAAAACGGCGCCGCATTGGGACCATAAAGGCGCTTTCTTGGTCGCTGCTGTTCTAAAGAGATTTTGAAATGAAACCATGCATATCAAATTTATTGAATGTCCGAGTGGTCACATTTTTTGTAATTCAAGACCAATAAAAAAAGGACTTCCAGTTCTGTTTTTTCTACACACACCATATGGTGTGTTCGACAAAATTACATCGAGAGGAAAAGTGGTTTAGGAATACTCAGACATATGGTGTGTTCGACAAAATTACATCGAGAGGAAAAGTGGTTTAGGAATACTCAGACATTATTAGAAAACAAAAAATATATGAGGAAGGATAGGTATTGCAAGTTGAAGTTGAAGTTTATTTGAATGTAACTATTATGAGATCATGATACTGAGAAGGTAAAACAATAAGAAACGCATTCGTCGACTATTATATACAAATTTCAAACTACTCTTTTGCTCTGAGTGAAAGTCTGCCAATCTAAAATGACAGATTTTCATGAAACTCTTTGGCTTTTTGGGCTCACAACAACAACAACAAATTGTAGCTCAGCGGTCTAGTGCGCTGCCCTTTAAAACGTTGGGAATTGAGAGGCATGGGTTCGACCCCTCTGAATGTCATATGGTTTTCCCTTGTTAAAGTGTTTTTAAAATCTTTTTTAAAAGCTCATCTATTAACCTAATGTTAGGTGTTACTTATATTACTCTATGTTGGAACGGCTTGTAAGCTGAACGCAAATAATAAACTTCAACTTTAACCCGAGGCCAGTCAGTGAAATACATTTGTATACCCTTGCAGAGGGTATTATAATTTCAGTCAGAAGTTTGCAATTTCTGCAAGCGTATACAAAAATAATTAAACAATTTTAAGTGAAACACAATTTAATTTGTTTTTGGGATTACCTTTTGATGGGTTTCAATTATATATATTTAAATACCATATGTAAGGGCTTATATATAAGCAATCGCGATAAAAATAAATAGACGAGAACTCATTTTCATTCTTTAACAAAGACCAGAAGTTTGTATACGATTGACAATGAGGTAATGCTGCTTATAAACCACATCTGAGACACATCTGCTCTGCATATGCAGGCTTATACACATATACACCGAAATAAAATGATCACAGAAGTAAAACTATAGTTACATACATTTTAAGCTTCTACGATGGGAGTTAGCATAATGCTCACAAAACAGTTAAATTGAAATATAATGTATTAAAAAATAAAAGGAAGCAACCTTCGGCAAGCCGAAGTTCATATACCCTTGCAGATATTGCAGAAATGAAATATACTTGAATTTATATTTTGATTTATTCTATATATTTAAAAGTTCAATTAAATAAAATTATGTCAAAAAGAATGATTTTTAGAAAGTTAAAAAGAGAGAAGTTACATATTTTTGTTTGTTTTTTATTGTATGACTATATGATATAGTCGTCCGATTTTGATAAAATTAAAACCTTGAAGAACTAAACAACACTTAAAAACAGCCAAATTATAATTTTTGTTAATTTATTTTAAATGTTTCCATTAGGACCGCTTCATCCAGCTATTTTGCCTACACAGGCATTTTCTATCTCAGCGTGCCGAATAAGAACTTTTAAAAAGAGTATTTATTTATTTAGTGTCACAACATTTTTTTTTTGTTATATTAGAAGTTTTTGTTTGAAATATAGGCATGGTACTCAAATATTATAATCATGATTTAAAAAAAATACTATTTAGCTATATCGCAGTACTAATTTTTTAAAGCACTAACATGAAAGGAAGCAAACTCTGGCAAACCGACGTTTATATACCCTTGCAGCTATTCAAAAAAGTAAATATTTTTTAAAACAACAATATTCAGAATTTTATGTTTTAATGTTTTAATTTAATTCTGAGACAATAAAACATTAAAAATTAAAACTTCTGACTGAAATTATAATACCCTCTTCAAGGGTATAAAAATGTATTTCAAGAATGTCTTACGTTCTTATACCCTTGCAATTAAAAAACAGCAAAGTTATAATTTGTTTTTTAGAAATTCTTTTTGATTAATTAATAATTTGATAGTTCAGAATTACGCTTTTAATTTTTTAAAAATCGGATAACGATATCATATATGTACGTAGCTGCCATAGGAACTATCAAATATTTGAGCTGCAAATCATCATAGCTTCAATTTTTTTAAACATATACGCAAGTCAATCACAATTTTAATGATTTCAATAACATTTAGATTAGATTTTTAGGCGTATATTTATAAGCGAAGATATTTCGATTTATCCTATGGCTTATAAATAAATTATATAAAATTAGTAACTTAATTAAAAGAGTTAAGCATTTGCAAAAACATTTCCAAGGGAGAAGAGTTCTCGTTGAACAAGCTTTCTGTGCAAAGCGACACTGGCTCTCGAAAGGGTATGCAAATCTGCGTACAATGTGTTGTTTCTGCTGATTGCTGTACGAGAATACAAGTGCAAGTGTGCTGAAGAAAGAAAGCGAAGCGTGTGACGACCAGCAACTAGATTGAGTCAAGGATTGAGGCTGCAACTGAGACTGAGACTGAGACTGGGACTGCAGCGCAAAGTGGTTTGGTCCCCACCGATTCTGCGAGTCGATGGAACACTGGCAATGCATCATTTTGCGTTGGGCAAAGACTCAGTGGCAGCCGCGAAATCAGCAACATCGCAGAGTCGTTGACTTGAAATCGAGCTGCCTTTTGTTTTGTTCTCTTTGTATCTCTCGTTGGCAAGGCGCAGTCATCTTAATAGTTTGTTTATTTTGCCTTTATTGCTTTGAGCAAGGAAAAAACAGAGTATACACAACATTTTATACAATTTTCTTAGTCTTAGGTTATATAAAATGTTGATTTCGTCAGAAAATTTGATATTGGAAATGTCACGACTTCCTTACCTTGCTATGATATTTTTATAAACTTGCTATTGGTATTATAATTTCAGTCAGAAGATTGATACTCATTAAAGAATAGAACAAATTTAAATATACCATATAGGGTCGCAAGTGCCTCCTTCACTGAGTTGCAAAACCCTCTGCAAGGGTATACAAATTATAACCTTACTGTTTTGCTAATCTAAATTATTTTTTAATATTCTTGAAGTAAATATTCTGTGAAAATCGACTATATCACATAACTTCCCATTAAAACAATGGGATATAATATAAAAATAGCTGAAAAAAATAAAACTTCCCTGTTTTTAGTATCATTAAAATCGGAGCACTTATTATATAGCTCCTGCCTTAACTTTGCCTTTTATATACTTCGAAACATTGTAATGGTTTATTTTAGAATAACGGTTTTGTTTTATTAAAATCGGAAAACGATGTCATATAGCCGCCGCAATGTTATTGCACTCGAGAGAAACGAAAACAAACGCATCGTCTGTTTATTAAAATCTGAATGGAAGGAGGATTGCATTTCGTCCAGTGGGACGAACAAAACAGCTTTTGTTTTCCATTCTAATGTTGGTCTTACTCTTCTTACTGACTCAAAGATTTTACGGTTGATTTCATCTGGAACAGTTCAAACACCACACAGAACTATTTGTTGTTGTTTCAATATATCAACTTTTAAAGTAATTGTACTGGCATTGTTGGAGCAGTGTATTTTATACATTATTGACGGCTATAAACCACCACACAAATGTTTCTCTTACGTAGCACCTATTTAAAATTGTTTAAATAATAATTATACTCGTTGTTCGTAGAGTATAAGGGTATATTGTATTTGTTGAAAAGCTTGTAACAGGTAGAATAAAGCGTTTCCGATTACTATACACTATAAGTGTATAGATTCCTTTATCTGTGACCATCTGTCTATCCGTCTGTCCGTCCTTTTGTCCCTTTGAACGTCAAGATCTCGGAAACTGCAAAAGCTAGAGTTTTGGCATTTAACATTCCGATTTAAGTTATACCTACACCAGGACAAGTTTCTTTCAAAACAGGAAAGGAAGCAAGCTTCGGCAAACCGAAGGTCATATACCCTTGCAGCTGTTACAAAAATTAAATATTATCGAAAACATTAAAATTATTATTTACTTGCGTATATGTCTAGGAACATTGACGCTATGATGATTTGCAGCTCAATTATTCGATAGTTCCTAAGGCAGCTATATGATATCGTTTTCTGATTTCAATAAAATTAAAAGCGTAATTCTGAACTGGCAAATTATTAATAAGGCGCAAATGTTACGTTTAAAAAAAAAATAATTGCTTTTAATATTGTTATTGTTCCCATGGGTCCTGAGAGACTAGCATGCGTAGTAACGGACGGACGGGCGGACGGACAGACGAACGGACAGACGGACGGACAGACGGATAGAAGGACAGATAGAAGAATATTTAATTTTGACAAAATTGGCAAGGGTATATAAACTTCGGCTTGCCGAAGTTGGCTTCCTTTATTGTCATAACTTAATTTGCCGACGGAAATCTTTTTGTAACTTAGAACTTGTTCTGAGATAAGCAGCAGTCAACATTTTTGCAAGCATTGACCTTGTTTCATTCAGTAATTGATTGCGTAAGCGTCTTAAGCTTGATACTATTGTTCGCGAATTGTCTAAGTGCAGGAAAGAATGTGTGTATATATAGGTTAAAACAACATGTGTGCTGCATTTCGCATGGATATTCGAGGGATAGTCAATTTCAATTTCAAGTAATAAAGAAAAACACCTCTTAACTAGCTTTCTCTTCGCAATACGCAATACGATCGGATCATCACAGCATATTTCAGTTTTTACTAGTCTCCTATGCACACGCTCTTGGTGCGCATCGTCTCTACTTGTACTGCCATCCAAAGTGATAATAATTATTATTATTATTATTATAATTATTATTATTATTATTATTATTATTATTTATTATTATTTTATTATTATTATTATTATTATTATTATTATTATTATTATTATTATTATTAATATTATTATTATTATTATTATTATTATTATTATTATTATTATTATTATTATTATTATTATTATTATTATTATTATTATTATTATTATTATTATTATTATTATTATTATTATTATTATTATATTATTATAAAACAAAATATAAAGTTGAATACATCAGTACCTGCACACCCAACAAAGCATATTTAAGCCCTAGCCAATCAAATAGCTTCTTTTAAATATTCTCTTTGCCTAATTTAATTTTGTTCTCCTTTAAGAAAATATTTTCAAGATAAAACAGGAGAACAATCGAAAATCAATTTGTCGAAATGCACAGCCAACACTAGAAGCTAACAGTTCTATAGCTCTCTCTCATCTGCTAGCAGCGGCAGAACAGTGGCCGATCAGTGGCTGAGCAGCGGCAGAGCACCATAACTTCTAAAATAATAGCTCGAATTTAAACATTTTTGAGTCTACCGATAGATATGACCGAAACGCACACACAGAACCAACCCCTACGTTATGCCATGGCTCACAGTGACACTAAATACTTCCACGATTTGTGGGCGTTGGAGTGGGCATGGCTCTGTATTGAAATAAACTTGTACTGCTTAGGAACTATTAGAATCTGCATGCCAAGTCCCAAATCTATAGCTTTTATAGGTCTCGACGTTCATACAGACGGACTCGGCTATTGATCCTGATCAAGAATATATACACTTTATATGGTCGGAAACGCTACCTTCTACCTGTCACATACTTTTCAACGAATACAATATCCTCTTTCACTCTACGAACAACGTGTATAATCATAATTTATGTAAACGAGAAAGAACGCTATAGTCGAGATCCCCGACTACACTGGCTTACAAATTAAAATCGATGAAATCCTACAGATTCAAACCTAGATTTTTCGGTGCAGATGGACTCCCTGATTCAAAAATTTGCACTTACATTTTGTTGTATGGTACCATTTTTTTAAAGTGTAAATAACGTTTTACACTTGTTTTCATGATATTTTTTATCTCCAGTTCTGCTAAACCGATTTCGGTCATCGATGGCTTATTAATTAATTAATTAATTCTTAAACTTTCCCATATATATTATTGGGAAAGGCTTTCTTATAAAGTTGATAGACAAAGTTTGAACAAATTGCTAAAACTAAAGTTCCGACAGACTGAAAACCGAAAATAAATTTTTCAGTTTATCTTGAGGATGGAACATTCACGAATCTAACAAGTTATTAACCTCAAGAATACGCCTGTAAATCTATTTTATTTTATACAGATTTTCAAATCTTGCAAAACGGTGATTTTTAGGCAGTTAGTGGCCGTAAAGCACATGTTAAGTGCTATTTGCAGATGTTAACAAGCACAACACAAAAATACCCGTATTTAGGAGACAGTAAAATCCATATAAAATCGGTTTACCAGACAACAAATTTGGAGTGCCACCGGAAAATCAAGGTTTGATCTCTGGAGGATTTCATCGGTTTAGGGTTGTAAGCCAGTGCCATTAGCCATTAGATACCCGTTACTCAAATTTCAAACTCCCCAAATTCCCCCACAAAACAAACGTGGTCTAGGTGGCGCCATCTGTCGAACTACATTGCCAATACTGGAAGCTAAAAGCGTGCAGCACTCCCCGTTCTTTATTCGTTCTGTCAATCTAGAAAAGCGATTACCGCGAAAAACTGATAATGTTTTGGCGGTAGAGAAGCGGCTGAGGACTTATGAATTAAAAAACTTTTAAAACATTAGCTCGATATTTATAAATTTATTGTCTACACTTAGTCCCATAACTATAACTAACACTGTTGAACTTGTTTCAGAGTGGGCGTTAGATTGGGGCCACGGTCTGAAACTATCTTGCTTTGCGTAAGGATTACTAGAATCTGCTTTGTCGAATCCGAAATCTCTAACTGTTTTATTTTCCGAATTCGACTCGGCTATTGACCCTAGTAGAGATAGTACAATTTACCTTTATCCTCTGCGAGTAACGGTTATAATAATTGTAATCATTTATTCATATCAGTAGATGCCTGAAAGTAGATGCCTGAAAGATGGTACGCTGCGGATCCGATGCAATAAAAAAATATATCGGGGGTAGATTTGTGGTTGGGCTTCTTCGAAACAATAAAATTCTAACTACTAAAACTGGAAATATTTCTTTTGCGTTGCAGACCTCCTTCGTCTTACTGAGCAGCCTAACAAACCTCGCTTGTTTTACTTTTATTGATATCTTGGATTCGCATTCACCTGTTGTTATTTCGAGTGTGTTGTTGCTTATTTTGTTGCATCGACGCAAAAAAAGCAACAGCATTAGCGTCGACAATACAACTAGTTTTCCGTGCTGCATTCCCGTCGACTGTCGTCTTATGTCGTCCCGGCGGATCGACGCTATTTGCGGCATGGCTATGTGGATTCGGACTTTATCTATATAACCCAAAACATGTTTTTCGCTGCATTTTCTTAATAGACAGAGACTTGCAAGAGTTGTGCTCTTGCGTAAAGGTATGCACCTAAGGATAGACATTAGTTTAGAGCTTTGACTAATTTACTTTTGTAATTATGTTCTATCGGCTCCTGCCACTGTATCCAATAAGTTGTAATAATATTAGGGGAATATATTGCTTATCAGCAACACAGCCAATATAACCCTCATATTTACTATGTGATATAGTATTTCGATACCGACATTTTGTATGGTAGTATATGTTTTAACCTTATTTAATGGCACTCTGCCATATCGGACATAGAAAAGGTTGTTAGTGTTGTTAAACATGTGAGAAACCCTGAATAAGAACTATTTAAATATCTAGCTTTCTTTTCCAATATTTGATACCGTTTTAACTTGTTCCGTGACTTTCTTGGTTAGGTCAAACTCGGGCAACTATATCACACAAACTCTTCAAGATCGATTGTGCAAAAATAATTATTAATCTTAGTATATTGGTGTTTCTTACTATCTCAATAAGATGTTATTACACACTAAAATATTTTGTAATAGTTCTGCGAGGGTATTCAAAGCTTCGGTCCCAAAAGCCAGCCTTTCTTTCTTGTTTAGTTTGTTGCTGCTAATTTTTTCTGTGGGCCAGTTTTGCCAGATCTCTCAGGCAGAACTGGATAAACAACCTGTCATGCGGCCCCCCGTTCGTACTCCTCAAGTTGAACTTAATGATCGTGCGTGCAAATGGGTAAGCGCTGTGGATCTTTTAAAAGTGCATGCTGTATTTCTGCGAATAAATGACTATTGCATACACTGGCACTGTTGATAACATATAGCTCACCGCGTACGGTACTACAAACTCTGGACAGGAACCGCACAATGAACAAGTCAACTTTTCAAATCAAAGGAAATGAAAGAGGCATTTGATCCCTAATACAATTTAAAGATATCTATTAATATCCACTTTTAAGCAACCTCTGCATATGCAATACTCTTCTTTTATACCATCTAAAAAGGTCTCTAATAGAACAACTTATGGGCGTAGAGCTGTTGTTGTTGTTGGAAAAGCAACTAACAGGAACTAATAGAAAAGCTGGAATGCATTACAAACTAGAATCAAGCAATTCAATCAGCGAAAAATATGGCAAATTACGACCAAGCTTGATTCACATCAATGCCACGCCCTAGTATCTAATCCATTTTGGCTGCACTCTTTGGGCGTCTAGGCACTGGAGGTTATGGTTCGGCAAGCGACATGGTTGTTTTTTGTTAGATGTGCGCCAATTCCTTTTTCGCTTGCGCCATTAGTTTCATGGGGAAGGAAGGCTGCATTGTTTTGCCTTTGATTGTCTCTTTGATGTAACCGTGCCCCTATTATAAGCGCTGAGGATGCGACACGGCACCTTTCCTGTCTTAACAGTCTCCACAATTTATGGCGTTCCACAGTGACACCACGGAGAACAAGTAAAGAAACCCGACAGACAATCGAATCGAAAAACGGCAACAAAAACAATAACTCGACACAAGTTTGTACCGATATCATTAGGCCGAAACGAACTAGCAACTAGAAAGCGTGAGCCGCGAATTGCGCGAATTGCGCTCAAATTGAAGTCTATATTTCATGCGAGAGAAATGTAAGAACTCGAATGTAAGTGTAGAGCAGCCTCCGAAGGATTTCGCATTTCGATCGTAGTGCAAGACTTTGGCAAGTACTGCAACGTTGTCGCGACTGCGTTAATGTCCACATATATACATGCACGGACATACAAACACATGAGTACTCAAAAAACCAGTCCAGTCCGAGCCATCTCATACACGATCTTCAGCTCCTTTGAGCCAGCTACTGATGAGATACTCCCCCCCCCAGCCTCCGCTTTGTCCCCTATCCACTTCGACCAGCTTGAATTTCGAGTCCAGTTCCGATTTCTGCCTCAGCAGCACCTAACCACCGCCCCCCTAAGCCCCCCAACCAGCGATATTCTCGCGTGGCAAGTGCACCTGTCGCGACCAATGCTTGTATGCAGCACTCCAGACTACGATGAATCAGGCAAACTGGCCTGAACCGAACCCGAGCCCGAGTACGAGCCACGGACCTCAGATCTTGAGCATTGGGAAAAACAATGCCAGGCGACGTGGCAAAAAGCAAACATTTTATGACTATCATTGGGGGAATTTGTATATTGCATTCGGTGGGTTGCCGCTGCGTTGCTAGTATACTCACATTTCCTTACAGAGTCCGCTCGAGATTACACATCTCTCAGTTGTACTCCTTTGACTAGGTGCAACAAGGACTGTTTCATAGGCCGATTGCATGTTATATACATATATAGTAATAGAACGAATATATATAAATCATTATGTATGCGCACCCACTTATATCATCTTATGGCACTTTCGAAAATTCACAATATTACACCCCGTCACATCTAATTAGGTCCCATTGTGCGGATCGAGGATTTCCCGTTTATCTGCTTCACGACACATCAAAATAGTTTGTTTTGATCATGACAAAAGTTCGGATATCCATGTGAGCTTAGTCACATCTACAATTGGCTCCCAGGGAACAGGAACAGTTCCTCCGAGACGACCTGGGCACTACGAATTTGCATTTAAAGTTCGGATTTACGAGACATTTCCATTTCCATTTCCATTTCCATTTCCATTTTCATTTCCATTGTGACTGCTCGCTTTTTCAAGTGCTGCCGGATTACGAGTGAGCATCGATGCACGCAAAGTCCGGTGTCTTTTTTGTGCGCAACAATGCAATTTTCCGTCTGATCGCGCCGAGCGAAGCCACAATCAAATGTGATTTTTACACTGCATTGAGTATTGAGTTTACCAATTTTGTTAAGCGTTTGCTAACCTAAACTGATATCAGCCTCTGTGAGACCTACTGATGACCATTGACCAACATGGTAGAGCTCTTTTAAAGATGTAAAAGGTTCTTGCCCCACTTGGTGTCATCACTAGGCTCAATAGACAGGGGCACACGAATCATTTTGGTTAACTCAAACACACTAAAACTTATATACGCAGCATAGTGTAAAAGGCGCATTGCACACATGTGATTGCGTCTTCGTCAGTTGCATGTTGTGGGAGTGCATTGCAATCCCCGCAATCGGCACTTGGCGGCTTCTTGGCAAAAACTCATTCTAGCCCGTGCCGTGTGAAGCAATGCGGCATTCGGTTGGCATAGGACTCTTTAAGTTCGGCACGCGCACGTGGAATGTTACCCAAACCACCCGCAAGTCCACCAGCAAATGAGACGGCACAACGACGCGGATGAAGCACCACCACCACTGCGTAGCGATGTTCAATAGTCACTGACTCCGAGTCCACTTCCAAGTCCACTTCCACTGCATTTCGAACAAAGAGAGAGGGCAAGCAGCCCATGCTCTTACGGGTTTCTCTTCGCCGCCCGGAGCTCTGCTCTCTTCTCCCGCGCCCAGAGCAGCAGAGCAGCAGAGCAGAGAAGCAGAAGCGGCAGCCAATGATTTGGTGCCGGGTTATCCAATCGCTGCACAGTTTTCGGGCCGCCCACGCCCCGACTAAGGTTTGGCATTCGCGCGCACACACAGTTTTGCAGCCACTGATGTCATGGCGTCATGGGCACAGACCTTTCCATTTTGTTTAGCACCCAGTCCGGACTACTGGGGGCTTTTCTCGCAGTGCACTGTGTCTACTCACTTGAAGGGCAAACTGACATGATCGTAAGCACTCTCGTTAAGTGCCCAGCGCGAGAATTATAACCATTCTACTTCCTAGAGTATGCACAACATCCTTGACTTAAATTGTGATTCTGACCAACTTGAATATCTATTTATATACATTAAAGCGCTGGTTTTAAAACATAGGTTCAAGTAAATCATGTGGGAAAAATGTTTGATTTGAATGGCTCAACTCTTGGCCAGCTTTTTAAAGCCTGTTACTATTTAAAGTTTTATAACTTATTTTGGAGAATTGGTTGGCTTTGCTTATACACAATTACACATGAGCGTAAGCTGTAAGTCTGTGGAAAGTGCTTTTGGAAACTTCCCAATGCTTTGAAAAAGTACAATTTTATTTCTATTTTAAAAACCTGTTAACGGTTATGATTTTTCAATTTTGGAGATTTAATTGCAGAAGCAAGAAAAGTCAATACGTTATTTTTTATGACAAGCTATGTAGTTGAATTAAAAAACATTTGAGAAATCTACACAAACACAGTAAAGCTAACTGATAAAGAAAAATGTCCTATGCGACATTAGGTCATATTCATTTTTAGTATCTGAATAAATTAGTTAAGTGTAAAATACAGTAATAAAGTGCACTAACGGTATACAAAGAAAAATGTCAAATATACAATTTGAGAATAAAAGAAAAAAAACTAAGGAAATATTAGAACTGGTGCACTCAGATTTAAACGGCACACATTTTTAGATTACGGCAATGAAAACTACCTTTTAACGTTTATTTATGATTACAGCAAGTGTGATAGGTTATACTGTAAGTAAATAAGTTGCTTTAAGGAATAAATTCACTTTGTAGAACATACAATTAATAAAAGGTAAAAATTGCACTGCGACAATGGCAAAGAATATTTAAATCGAGAAATTAAAGAGTTTATTCGAGATAAATGAATCGAAATGTAAACTTGCCCCCACATGTACCTGAATTAAACGAAGTAGCGGAAAGATATAATAGATTGGCCATGGACATGGGTAGATGTCTCATGCGAGAAGCTAAGGTAAATAGATGTTACTGGCCTGAAATTATTAAAGCTACTGCTTATTTGAAGAGCCGAACACTTGCAAACACTCAAGAAAACAAAACTGTTTACGAAATATTCTTTGATATTAAAACAAACGTAAAACATTTAAAAATTTATGGAAGTGGAGTGTTTTGCAGAATTATTCTATCGTATTGGTCCGATTGTTCGTCCGATTTTAATCAAATTTCAACCATATTCAACAACAACAAAAATTACTATATCTCGAGAAACTGAGAAAAAAATAAACAAGAAAGAAAGCAAACTTCTGCAAGCCGAAGTTCATATACCATTGCAACTGTTCCAAAAATTAAATATTTTTGAAAACACTAAAATTATGGTTTGCTTGCGTGTACGTTTAAAATATTGTAGCTATGATGATTTGCCACTCAATTATTTGATAATTAATATGGCAGCTTTATTATCTCAAATTATTAATAAGGCAAAAATAACTTAAAACAAATTACAAAATAGAAAAGTTACATTTAAAAACAATTTTTTTTTAATATATTGTTCCCACGGGAGCTATAAGTTATAGTCGCCCGATTTTGATGACATTTGAAGCGTAATTCTAAAATATTTCACCATTACTATATGTCGAAGAACTAAACAAAAAAATAAAATGCAGCAAACTTTTAATTTTTTCATTTATTTTCCCGATTGTTCCTATGGTAGCTTAAAGCTAAGAGCGAACAGCTTCCCCACCCCCCGCTAAAAGCGGCTTTATTTAATCAGATCATAGGCAAAGCACCGGCAGAGCTCGGTTCGAAGAACAGTTTAATATAAGCCGCTGTACTATGGAGCCCATATTAGGAAAGTTGTTAAATCAAAAAATGTGGTTTTAGGATTCATTAAGCCAATTCTGCAAAGAGAAAATAACGGCCTTCCCTTATCTTCAAATAAACCAGCTATTTCCGATTGAGATGCATTCTTTTTAATGTATAGATTTAATTGTCTAATAGCTTATATATTTTGTTATTTGTTTGATCAACAGCGTTACTAATGTGGAGACTTTTAGGAAAATCGCGGGACATTTGAAAACTGCAGGCCCAGGGGAAACCCACCCATTTCCCAATATTTTTAATGTCACTCCACGTTTTTGGCCATTAATAACTTAAAAAAAAAACACCTTGCAAAATTGAATTAATAGCCAATGTTTCTTGTTATTAGTGGATTTGTTTGAGATAATCACATTACTCAGTAATAGTTTTTCCAGCACTTGACTTTTTATCCAACGTCAAGTCTTACATTACATCATTTTTACATTTTACACTTTGTTTTTATTATAATTTACTTTGAAATGTATTTACACATTTTTGCAGTTTGGCAGACGGCGCCACATAAAACTAGTTTATCTGAAGGGAATTTTTATTTAAAATTTATTAGCTGAGTAATTGGTTTCTTATGTTTTGATTGTTTCTCACAGTTTTATTTTAAATTTCCGTTGTTCAAATCTCAGCAGAAGATTTCTTTAATAGCTAACGATGTAGAAAGCGCAATGCAAGGTACCTTACATTACCAAAATGTAAACTAAATGGTTTTTAACTTGGCTAACTAAATTTAAGTGCTGGAAAACTGTAATAGGATTGGGCTAAATTTAAAGTAAAAAAGGCTCATAGCTAGATGGCGCTACCTATTTATTGTTTTACGTACAAATTCTAACTAGCGCCATCTGTTGGGATATAACCTCAACAGAAGGCGCTACTTGAACGCCATTATTTTTGAACCGGTTAACATTAAGTCTTATACTAAGCAATTCAAGAATTTAAGTTGTTAACAAACACAGACTTCATTGAGTGTAACAAGTTTCTGAATAAGATGAGTATTAAATTAATAATAAATAAATACTCACGGGTAACAAATTTAAACTCACTTGGTATGTTACACCGAGACTCCTGCCTTCATTTCATACTCCCTAGTATAAATTACACACCATGTTTCGAATTTCCATAGTATAAAAATTGCTCCCATAAAAAATCCTCTGAATTTAAGTTTTTCTTTATTATATTTTTGTATGCTCATGCCTTTACTACAAATTCCATACATTAAAATAAATTTTCAAATTGATTAATATTATTCTTACGTAATAAAGAAAACTGACATAGACATATATTACCGTTTTTATGCAAATTTTCGGAAATGATATCTGCAAAATGTAAATACGAACAAAATCTTTACGATACATATACCCAAAATAATATATTTACATATGTCGTTAAGTGCATATTAACCCATCCAACTAACTAATTTAACTTTGCTCGCTCAAATTTTATAAAAACGCAATGTGCCTGCACTCACGATACCAGTTGCTTGTAGTGTTCGACAGATGGCGCCAACTGAACTCCGATTGTTTTGCGGGCGAATATGTGTTAGCTGGGTTTCTTTCTTTCCTGTTTTTTTTTATGTGGGGCAAAGTTGTGTTAGTTATTTTATATACACGTTATATATTGGTAATTTAGGTAGCTTTAAAAACCACTGGTAAATAGTAAAGTTTTAAGCAATAAAATGCCTAAATCTCTCTCTTAGGCGGTTAAAACTGCCCTGAATTTTAGTCGCAAACAAAACAAAAAATAGTTCTAAAAAATTCAGCTTTTGTCCACATGTTGATATTTCATTCTTTTCTTATACATAATTCTGGTACTAAAATATATTATATTTATTTAAATGTTATTTCGTTTCGAACCATTTTGGTGGTGCTACTGGATATAAACTTGGATAACTGGACTTAAACTTGGATAAGAATACAGTTATAAATTGTTATAAGCCCAAAAATAACCCAATCAATTAAAAGCTAAATAATCGTTTTTTTAGCTGAAAGTAACAATCGTAGTCGGCCATGTTCTTAAAGTCCCATCTCTAGTTTCAGTTTTAAGATTTTCCCGCAAAGTCTTTGTGAACATGTATAAAACGGTTCAACTGCTGAAATTGTTTAATTATTAATACGAAAATATGCCTGATATCGTTGTTAAGCTTCCGCTCGTGCTGAGAAACGATGATTTATAAACTTTTAATAATGCCAATATTAGTATGCTTAACCTCTCACTAAGGCAATGCCTTTTGATTGCCATGTTGTTTTTTAAGAATGTTTTTTGTTTGCAGATTTCCAATATTAAAATTATTAAAATATATTTTGTAAACAAGGCTGTGAGCTAGTGGTCTGCACGGCATTACTCCCTTAGCGTAAGTCTTTCCCAGACTATTTGTTGGTATGGTAACTCTATATACATTATGGCTAAGCCGACATAGATTTTCCAATTGATTTTCTAGTCTGTATACTACTATTTCACATAATATCCTGCAATAAATAATAGGCATTTTGTTAGATAAGGAGAACTGAAATTATTTTCATAACTAAATGATTGAGGTCAAATATATATAGTTTACTTAAGCCTTTACCCAAATAATATTTATATTTAGTTTATATACGATTGTAATAAACTAAATTTAAGGAAATAGTTGCCTACAAATGTTGCCTACAAATTACCTAGAAAGTTGAAACGCAAACATAGGTTGATAATTCTCTAATGTACGACGGCATCAGGTTCCTAAAATATTTAATCCTAAAACATCGTTTTTAGGTAATATGACCTGTTTTTTAATTACCCATTAGGCTATAAAATACCAATTCCAATTTTAGGAAAATCTTTTTCCTTGGTGTCGTAATTCTTATGCAGCGCAATTTTGTCAAAACGCCTTTTTGAAAAAAAGCCTGTCAAAAATACAGTTTTCACTTCGGACGACTTTATCATATAGTTCCCATAGGAACAATCGTAATTCTATAAAAAATAAATGAATCAAAAATTTTAACTTAAGATTTGTGACATGTTAAACAAAAATATTTAAAACTTTGCTATTTCGGCGTTGACAGCAGAACCTTCTGCAGGATTGTTAGAAAATGTAGGCTAAATTTAATCCGTAATGCTTATAAAAAAATATAATAAATCTTAAAGAACTAAAAAAAAAGTTAAAAATCGTTCTTTTGCCCGATTGTTCCTAGGGCAGCTACATCTTATTGTCGTCTGATTCGGCTCGTTCCGAATTACTACTACTTGCAATGTACAAATAGTTCAAAATCTGAGAGACTAGTTTGTGCAGAAACGGACAGACGGATCGACTTTCCTAGTGATGCTGATCAAGAATATATATACTTTATAGGGTCTCCTTCACTGCGTTGTTAACTTCTGACTGTAATTATAATACCCTCTGCAAGGGTACAACAAGAATGGAAGCAAACTTCGGAAAGCCGAAGTTCGCATACGCTTGCAAAAATAAAACAGCTAAATTTCGAATTATAATAATACCCATTTAAACCCATTGAAGCTATGATGACTTCCACCCCAATTATTCGATCGATTCGATGGCATCCTATGAGTTATTAAACCATTTCTAGTCTAAACATATTAAAAAAATATATTTTTAATATTCCAATGGTTTTCATGGGATGTTACAGTCGCCCGATCCGGCGGCTCGTTCCTGCAACAAATGGAAAAATTTTGGGAAAGTTTTAGCAGAATAGCTTTTAAGCTAAAAGACTAGTTTGCGCAGACTGACAGACGGACAAATGGACAATGCTGATCAAGAGTATATAGACTTTAAGGATCAAACTTCTGACTGAAATTATAATACCCTACGTCTCAACTAACCGTTGTCCGATTTGCGGACAATAGCGTTCTAAATGCGCAAGTGTTTTCGTCACCACGTAGGACATTTTAAACTAATTTATTAAAATGGTCTTACCATTACATTGGAATAGTTAATAAACAATCTCAAACCACTTAAGAGTGTCCCAAAAATACACTTGGAATGACCAGGATTAGGACCATACTAAAAATTGGACTTTATTAATTGTGATTATCGGGATGAGTGAGATAGATTTACAGTACAGAGTTTTATCAAGTCACTAACTTATTTAGCAACCTACGAGGTTTAACAATAGTTTAACATTTATTTACGCTCGTTAAAACATATAAAACTACACTGAAGAACCCTATTTATCAAGTATCGATTTAGGTATGTATGTGTTTGTATTGCAGGGTGGGTCGTCGGCTTCAAATGAACTAGTATATGCAGTATATCTATTGACCCTGTCACATTTAACCAGTGTGGGAAATGTGGGCGGTCTGATCTGATCTACTGCTTCTGTGAGACTATTTCCGTCTTCGGAGGTGGCGTTATCGAGGACGTCCGTCCAGTCTTGGACGCCTCCATAGTGGCTCGTCGAGCAGCTGCGGCCATGTACGTGCCGTAGTACCTGCTCAGCATGTGCGGATCGACTTGGTTGAGTTCGATGTACGCGTTGGGAATGGCCACTCCGAGAGGTGAAGGCCTCGCAGCGGGCGGGGGACACTCCTCCAGGGAACTGGACTCCTCGTGCTGGCTGCTGCTGCTGCCCAAGGACCTCGCCGCCGAGCTGGACACGGAGTAAGGGTGCTGCTCGAGATCTTCCGGATCAGGATCAGGATCAGGATCTGGATCTGGATCTGGATCTGGATCGGACAGTCTGCCATCGCTTAGGTACGAGTTGTTGTCCTCAACAGAGGCAAACAGCTTCACTCCGCTCTTTTCCTGCCCATCCGGATCCGCATCCGCATCCGCATCCGCATCCGCATCTGGATAGGGATCGGGGTCGGGGTGGGAATTGATGCCTTCGTCTACCACATCGACGTTGACCTCCACATCGACATCGGTGTCGATGTCGATGTCGGCGTCGGTCACGGGTTGCTCCAGTCCCAGGACAACCTCGCGGTGTATGGTCTGCTTCGTGATGACCGTGTGGGTCTGGGTCGTCGTCCTCGCGGTGGCAGCTGGTCTCACCGCGGACTCCTGGTCCTCGGACACAATGTCGACGATCTGGACGTCGGGTGCCAGCAGCGAGGCCACGTCGAACTGCCGCTTGCGAGTCTGCGAGAACATGTTCGCAATGGTCGTCGTCGTGGTGGAGTTGATGTAGGCGATGTGCTGATGCTGGTGCTGGTGCTGATGCTGATGCGGCTGCTGGAGCTGGAGCTGAAGCTGGTCGAGCTGGGTGGGCTGGAGTCGCGGCACGAGCACGGGCGGATCGGCGGGATAGTGGGACGAGATGGCTGGTGCCGAGCTCCGGTTGAGGAACTGGCCGATGTACTGCTGGTGCGGGTACGGGTATCCCAGAGTCGACAGTGGAAGGGCGGACTGCGCGCCGGGCGGAGGCGGGGTGGTGAGGTCCAGGGGGGGCGGGCTGGGCGAGTCGGTGCTGGCGTCGTCCACCGACAGACCCATGTGCTTGCGCACCTTGCGCTGGGCCTTGCGGCGTCGGAAGTCGCCCTTGCGGAAGTCATCCATGTTGGCCGGGTGGATGGCCCAGTAGTGCCCCTTGCCATTGGCACTGCGGCCGGACTTGATAAAGCAGTCGTTTAGCGAGAGGTTGTGCCTGATGGAGTTCCTCCAGCCCGGGCCGCGGCTTCTAAAATACGGATAGTTATCCAAAATGTACTGGTAAATGTCTGAGAGGACCAACTTCAGTTCGGCCGAGCTCAGAATGGCCATGGCTATCAGCCCAATGTAGCTGTGCTGCGGCTTGGGCTCCTCTGGCTGGAAAATGCGCTGCGTCTGCGGGAACAGCGAAATGGTCGACAGGGCGGCCATGCGGTTCGCTCCCGCAATGCTGCCCGACCCCTGGTGTCCGTAGGGGCTCAGGTGCAGCCACGGGGCACCCGCTCCTCCACCTCCTCCAACTCCTCCAACTCCTCCAACTCCTCCACCTCCTCCTGCGCCATACTGCGGACAGCGGAAGCGTTCGATGCTCAAAGCGTAGTTGTACAACTGCAGGCGGTACTGTTCCAAAGCCATTGTCGTGGCTTGCGAGTGCGAATGCGACTGCGAGTGGGAGTTTCTCTGCGTTCCAAGAGGATAGATACTAGACAACGTTGGCTGCTTGGGCACATTCTCGTTGCTCGACGTGTTCACATGATCCCGATCGGATGTGGTCGCCTGCGAAGCAGCCAAGTCAGAGTGAGCCATTTGCCTTGCTTACATCCAGACTACAGCGTTTTTTTGTTTCCATCCGCGAAGATCACCAAATCGAACCTGTCCAAAGCAAACAAAAGACATTCTTAGTAACGATCAAATGCTTAGGTTGTGTGTTGATATGACAATAAAAAATAAATTCGTGAAACTCCTCTTTTAACAAGTACTAGATTTACACGTTAGACAAAAACAATTCATTTTCATTATTATCAATTGACATCAGAAATGTATTCCATTGGTCAATTTAAAATCTCAGATAACAACCGATATAGAAATGGATAAAGTTTGGACACCCCTGTGTTAACCACATTTTAATGCAGAATTTTGTATTAAAACAAGCCGAAGTTTATATACCCTTGCAGCTAGTGCAACCATTACTTGGTCTTTAAAGCAGGTAAATTTCGATTTACATGCGTATATGTTTTAAAATATTGTAGCTGCACTCATAGAAATATTTTTCTAAATACTAAAGAATCGCCCAAATAACAAATCGCCGGTAGTTTAAGGTCGAATTTTTTTTTTAAGAATTTTTTTTTAAATCTGGGGCGATTTCATCCAAGCATATGCCCACATTTTTATACCCTTGCAGAGGGTATTATAATTTCAGTCAGAAGTTTGCAACGCAGTGAAGGAGACATTTCCAACCCTATAAAGTATATATATTCCTGATCAGTATCACTAGGAGAATCGATCTAGCAATGTCCGTCAAACTAGTCTCTCAGTTTTAAAGCTATCTGCATGAAACTTTCCCAAAAGTTGTCTTTCTATTGCAGGTAGTATATAAGTCGGAACGAGCCGGATCGGACGACTATAGCATATAGCTCCCATAGGAACAATCGGAAAAATAATTGAAAAAAAATTATAACTTTGCTGTTTTTTAATTTTTTGTTTAGTTCTTCGACATATAGCAATGTTTATTTATTTCAGAATTATGGTTTAAATTTCATCAAAATCGGTCGACTATAGCATATAGCTCCCATAGGAACAACCGGAAAAATAAATAAAAGAAATTATAACTTTGCTGTTTTTTAATTTTTTTTTTAGTTCTTCGGCATATAGTAATGGTTTAATATTTCAGAATAACGGATTAAATTTCAAAATCGGACGACTATATCATATAGCTCCCATAGAAATAATAAAATTATATAAAATAACTATCTAATAAATCATCATTGCTTCAATGGTTTTAGATATATACGCAAGTAAATCATAATTTTAATGTTTTCAAAAATATTTAATTTTGCAATAGCTGCAAGGGTATATAAGCTTCGGCTTGCCGAAGTTTGCTTCCTTTCTTGTTTAATTTTTTTTAGTTCTTCGAGATATAGTAATGGTTAAATATTTCAGAATTACGGTTTAAATTTCATCAAAATCGGACGACTATATCATATAGCTCCCATAGAAATAATAAAATTATATAAAATAACTATCTAATAATTGAGCTGCAAATCATCATTGCTTCAATGTTTTTTTAGTAAATCATAATTTTAATGTTTTCAAAAATATTTAATTCTTGCAATAGCTGCAAGGGTATATAAACTTCGGCTTGCCGAAGTTTGCTTCCTTTCTTGTTTCCAATAATTAAAGGGCGAACTCTCCCTAATTGTAGAACAAAAAGTCATAAAAAATTCTATGGAATCCATAAAAATCGCCCTATAAAATTGGTAGCTCAGCGCTCTAATACGCTGCCCTTAAAAATGTTGGGAAGCTGAGAGGCGTGGGTTCGATCCCTCGGAAAGTCGTATGTTTCTTTTTGTTTTATTGTGTTTACAATTTTTTTAAAGCCTAATGTTAAATGTTAATTCTTTGATACTTGTTGAAACGATTTCATTAGCGCAACGCAATAAATAACCTTAAACTTTAACTCGAGCCCAGTCTCTGGAAACAACTTTTTTTTAGCTACATTTAATAAATTAGCTGTCTGCACAAAACTTTCCCAAAAGTTGTGTTTCTATTGCAGGTATTACATAATCGGAACGAGCCGGATCGGACGACTATAGCACATAGCTCCCATAGGAACAATCGGAAAAATAAATAAAAGATATTATAACTTTGCTGTTTTTTAATTTTTTGTTTAGTTCTTCGACATTTAGTAATGGTTAAATATTTTCGATTTACGGTTTAAATTTCATTAAAATTGGACGAATATATCATATAGCTCCCATGGAAACAATAAGAATATAAAAGTTTTTTTTTAAATGTAACTTTTCTATGTTGTAATTTTTCTTTTTTAATTCTTTTTGATTATTTAATTATTTGACAGTTCAAAATTACGCTTTTAATTTTATTATCCAAAGGAACAGTCGAATAATAGAGCTGCATTCATCATAGCTTAAATTTTTTTAAACATATACGCAAGTAAATCATGATTTTAATCTTTTCAGGAATATTTAATTTAATTTAATTTAATAGCTGCAAGGGCGTATGAACTTCGGATTGCCGAAATTTGCTTCCTTTCTTGTTGTGTAAGAAAGTGGTTAATATAATAGCCGACATACATACATATGTATCAGATCCCCACAGTTTAAAATGGTTTTTCACCACAAGAAGCCCTTTTCGTGATTTTTCATCTTACTGTGCGGTCTACGGAATGGCCAATGCTCAATTCAATGTTGATCTTAGGCATTTATGTTAATGAGTACTCCTCTTGACGCCACTTTCGAAGTGATGAAGAGTTTTTGTTTGTTTTGAATGATATACCAAGAGTACTCTTCAGGCTTTAAGTAAATCAATATCTACGACGATCAGTATATATGTGTAAAAATGAGAAGGCAAATGATAAGGTGCGGCTCACATATTATTGTTATAGATTGCAAGTCAAAACTTAGGCTAGGCTTAATCTTAAAAACACGGTAAAGTAATATCAAACTGAGCAGTTATAGATAATTCGACTCGACTCGATCAAAATTTGTATTTTTGAAGTCGCCAAACTCTAAAAAACCGAAAGTTAAAAATAATAAGTACCTACGTTTTAAAAATAAACTAAATAAACTTTAACTAAAGCATAAGTATTAGTTCAATAGTAAATAATATAAGGAGTTTACTTTCTAAATTAATGTATTTACCGAATAGCCCAAAATTGTAGTACGATGTTATTTTTAAAGCACATGTGCTTCAATACTATAGTATTGAACTGCTAAACATAGGTCTTATACTATTTAGTATGAAATTATTGTGAATTTTTTGTAAGCACTCATAAAATCGCTCATGATTCGAAATCGCAATAGAATTAAAAGTCAAAATGGAGATATTAAAGAAGAAGAAGCATGTTTTTTCTATGACTAAAGACAATTTTTATACCCTTGCAGAGGGTTTATAATTTCAGTCAGAAGTTTGCAACGCAGTGAAGGAGACGTTTCCGACCCTATAAAGTATATATATTCTTGATCAGCATCACTAGTAGAGTCGATCTAGCCATGTCCGTCTGTCCGTCCGTCTGTCCGTCTGTCCGTCTGTCCGTCTGTCCGTCCGTTTATATGCAAACTAGTCTCTCAGTTTTAAAGCTATCTGCATGAAACTTTCCCAAAAGTTGTCTTTCTATTGCAGGTAGTATATAAGTCTGAACGAGCCGGATCGGATGACTATAGCATATAGCTCCCATAGGAACAATCGGAAAAATAATTGAAAAAAAATGTAACTTTTCTGTTTTTTAATTTTTTGTTTAGTTCTTCGACATATAGCAATGTTTATTTATTTCAGAATTATGGTTTAAATTTTATCAAAATCGGACGTCAATAGCATATAGCTCCCATAGAAATAATAAAAATATATAAAATAACTATCAAACAATTGAGCTGCAAATCATCATAGTTTCAATGTTTTTCAGCATATACTCAAGTAAATCATAATTTAAATGTTTTCAAAAATGTTTAATTCATGCAATAGCTGCAAGGGTATATGAACTTCGGCTTGCCGAAGTTTGCTTTCTTTCTTGTTTTTTTTTAATTTCACCACCCTGGCAGTGGGTAGTTTTCTTAAAATTATGACGATTTCTTTTTTATTAATAAAGGGCGAATCCGCATTTTATTTTAGAAAATTATATTAACAAGAAATTGTTCTATTTTTATAAGTTTTTTTCAGCTGGAGGCCAAGAGTTCAAATCCTTGTCATCGCAAGTTCCAAAATAAAATTTGTTTAACTATAGTTTTGGTTTTTTTTGTCGTTATTATACCTTTGCAGAGGGTATACAAGTTTCAGTGAGAAGTTTGCAACGCAGTAAATGAGCAATTTCCGACCCTATAAAGTATATATATTCTTGATCAGCATCACTAGGAGAGGCGATTTAGCCATGTGCGTCTGTCCGTCCGTCCGTCTGTCCGTCCTTTTCTATGATGTGGTTTTTAGTTCTTCGAGATGTAGTTTAAATTTCATTTAAATCAAAGGACTACATCATGTAACTCCCATTAGAACCATCAAAATAATAAAAAAAAGGTAATTTCTTTTTTTGAGAATTTATTTTTAAATTTCTTTTGGACATAGTTATATTTTTATAGTTCAGATTTACGCATTTCATTTTATTCAAATCGGAAAATCTGTTCCATGGAAACGATCGAATAATTTAGCTGAAAATCAAGATTACTTAATTTCTGTTAGCTGAAAGGGTATATAAACTTCGGCTTGCCGAAGCTTGCTGCCTTTCATGTTTTATATGAAGTTTTTTGTTTTGGGATCAATTTTGATAGCCTGAATAGCAAGCCTAAAGTGCGTCTAAAAAAATATCTTCAAGCAATTTTAATTTCTCTTGGAAACTACTAAAGCCCTGAATGATTGGAGTCATAGTTCCCTTTTTTCCTGAGCCATTCGATCCCCCATGTTTTCTAAGTCATAGCTCATGGGGCTCATGACTCCTATGAGTCATAGCTCATAACATGATCTATGATCTACTTGATTCATAAGTACAGCTCATGTAGCTCGTGAAGTGACTCGTGTCAAAATAAAAGAGTTTTGATCCAGCATTCCCTTCTTTGAGCTCCAATAAACGAACGAATCGAAAAAATATTTTGAATATTTTATTTAGGAAAAACCTTTGTTTTGTTTAATTTTTGTATATAAAAATTATTTGAGCATATAAGTTCTGTTCTTGTCCGAATATATCAATACACAGAAGACTTTGATCGCCTCAAGTAGTGGAACACCAATTAAACAAACTTACCAGCAAGCAGCGCCTCATTGGAAAGAACATTTTCCCAAGCAGGAAATTTGATTTGAGAGAAAATGGCCGCTATTATATCAAAGAGATCAAAAAAATGATCTATTTACATAATAATATTAAGAGCACAGACGAATTATGATTATAATCAACTTGTTGAACAAAAAAACTTTAGAGTTTTTGGGCAAGGGGCTCGAAAACTCTGTTGGCGCGAAATAAAATGGTCCTCCTGCTCCAAAGAATTCGCGGTTTGTGCTCCGACTTAACGGAGAAGTCTATAATCGCAACCGGACATTTTGGGCACTACTTTTTTGAGCAGCGTGTTCATTGTGCCTCTGAATTTTGATAATGCTGATCTGTTCTGTGAGTTACTGGAGTCATGAGCCATGGGAGTCATGAGCCCCATGAGCTTTTTCGTTTTGGATCAGATACAAACGATCATGTCAACTTTACATGACCTGAGCCATTCGAACCTTAAATATTTTTGATTTGATTTACTAGAACCTATGTTTTAAAATATGAGTCAACCCTTTTTTCATGGGGCCCATGACTCCATCATGCAGGGCTCTAGAATCTACAGTCTTCTGTGTTTCTTAATATCGGATTAAACAGTATTTCATATGGATATTTAAACGGATTTCCTATAGCTATTTATTTTAAAAACTACAAAAGACTATAAATTTGTAATGCCGGGTAATTTCTACTTAAAAAATCAAAGAATTTAAAGTATAAGTCAGTTTCAATTTATAATACAAGACATGGTAAAGGTGGCCTTGACTTTTTAAAATTGGAGAAAATAAGTTGTACTATAGTATAAAATCCAATTAAATATCCTGAAAGTTAATTTTTAGTACAATTTAATGTTTTCAAATGATAAAATAACTAACGGTCACCGACAATTTCGCCACTTTTCGATTTATCAGCAAAAGAACAGGGCGTTGTTTTGTTCGAAATTTTTATACCCGTTACTCGTAGAGTGAATGGGTATATTGTATTCGTTACAAGGTTTGTAACAGGTAGAAGGAAGCGTTTCCGACCCTATAAAGTACATACATTCTTGATCAGGATCAATAGCCGAGTCGATCTAGCCATGTCCGTCTGTCCGTCTGTGTGAATGTCGAGATCTCGGAAACTATATAAGCTAGAGATTTGGGACTTGGCATGCAGATTCTAGTAGTTCCTGAGCAGTGCAAGTTTATTTCAAAACGGAGGCACGCCCACTGTAACGCCCACAAATCGAGAAAGTATGTACTGTCTTCCTGAGACATGTTAGAACGTAGGGGTTGGTTCTGAGTGCGAGTTTCGGCCATATCTATCGGCAGACACAAACATTTTTTTTAATCGAGCTGTTATCTGTTATCCTAGAAGTTATGGCGCCTCTGCCGCCCTCTGCCGCTGCTCAGCCACTGATCGACTGTTGTTCAGATGAGAGACAGAGAGAGAGGGAGAGAGAATTACAAAACTGTTAGTTCTCTTTAAAAGAGAACCAAGGAAAGCAAAAACATAAATAGTTGTTCGCCTAGGCAGCGTATTTGTCACGCTAATTTTTCTTTTGTAAATAAATGAAAACCTGTTCGTAGTAGCTGGAAAATACAATACTTTCAAAAAAAATCATTGCCGGATATGATAAAAAGACGGAAAATTGCAAATTCAAAATAAAAAGACTGCTGAGTTCGTAACCGAAAAGTGTAATGATTTTTAGCAAATAAAAGTTAGAAGAAAAGCAAACCTTTATACGTTAAAATAACCGGGATAACTTACTTTTACAACAAGGCCTAGTACTCAGATCGACGACAACCGTTCGCCGCCGTTGAGAGAGAGCGAGAGGCAAATTTTTGCACGTCGGTACTCAGATCGACGGAAAAAATACTAGAAATGTGCAGAGCGTTGCCAGACGTCTGGGATGAACTCTCGATGAATGTTTGTCAGCTCTGGCGAAAAGAATTAAAACTTAAATCTTTGGCGTTGTTGGATCTGAACTTGCAAGCGAAATGGAGGGAAAAACGACAAAAACTCGAAAAAGACGCGAATCTGCCACCATTCCAATACCAAATTTATCGCCGACCGAAGCGCACGATCTGGGGTAAACTCTGAAAACTTAGGTCTCACTAGAAAGAACAAAGTTTTTCGCTGGCCAAACTGTTCGTCAGTCTGAGTACTAGGCTTAAAGCTGGAACTTAACGTTTAAAAGCAAGTGTGTCCGTGGACTTATTAAAAGTCTCAAGCAATATCCATACATTATAGTTGTCTCTTTCTGAGCTTGAATGAATCCGTTAATGAATGAGGCCAACAATGTAGCGTCATACCCCAATTACATTTCGCGATATCACTCCCAAAAAAGTATATTTATGTCGTGCATTACCATCGAGGACACAATTTTATTGATCCTTTTTTGTTTTTTTTTTATTTTTTTTACTATTTTAACTTTGCTTGTGGTAACGCGTTTTGATTCCGAATTATCCTGGTTTTACAGTAGAAGATTTTAAACTACAGAGTATAGGCCTCATAATATGTTGTATACAATTAATAATGTATTGTTTGTATTTTTGACTCTTCGCTATAGAAACAAAACCACATAGCATAGACCTTATGTTATTAGTACTTATACTTTTAATACTGCCTGTAGTTCATTTTCAAGACGCTTATTTTAAAGTTTCGGTTTTTTTGTATATTGGTGTTTTGAAGGTGAGAAAAATTATACTTTTTAAACTTGATACTCGTAGAGTAAAAGGATGTATTGTATTCGTTAAAAAGTATGTTTCCATTAAAATATATATATATATTGCTAGCCAGGATCAATAGCCGAGTGGATCTGCCCATGACAGTATGTCCGTCTGAACGACGTAATAACGTAGAGATCTCGGAAACTATAAAAGTTTGAGATTTGGGACTTAACATATAGATTCTAGTTATGCCTACACAGCGAAACTTTATTTCGAAATGTGTCCACTGCCACTTTAACGCCCACAAATCGATAAAATCTTTAAAATCGATATATTATTATAACATTATTATGACCCCGGAGGTCATACTTATTTTGAAAATAGGTACCAGAGTAATGGGTATCTAAACGTCAATGCACTCTACTAAAGCATTCTTCTTGTTATACCCTTGCAAAGGGTATTATAATTGCAGTCTGAAGTTTGCAACACAGCAAAGTAGGCATTTCCGACCCTATAAAGTATATATATTCTGGATCAGCAGCACTAGGAGAGTGTGTCTGCCTGTCGGTGTGTCCGGTCTGCCCGTTCATTTCCTATTGCAGAAGGGAGATAAGTTGGAACGACGAGCATGAAGCTGCCATGGGAAATATTGGAAACCTAATTCAACTATTCATTTTTTTGTCAAATACTATTTTTCTGTTTACTTAACTATTTTCATAATTATAACCTATTTTGTAAAGGCTGGATCAGTTTTGGGTAAGTGTTAGTTTCTGTGTTTGGCAACTAGAAATTTAAACTACGGGGCTTTGGCATAATTTAGGGCCAATTTCACACATGAAATATAATATCATCTAGATTGGAATTATTTGACAAAGGTATCATTTTAAAGTGAGCTTACGATTTGACTGCGCCATTGTTGCGGTGTCGTTCTGGCATGTCCGCATGCGATGATGATGCGATCTTTCTTCAATGTGTTGATAAGTGTTAACAATTATTGGTAATCACTGTCACAGGTAATCATGTGTCGTACATATTATGTACACATTAGCGACACTAGCTTATCGGAGCCACTCAAGCACTGGATTTTTGACGTGCACACGATTTGAGAACACTTTGTATTGTAAATATTATACTTGTATTTGCAGAGAATCAATCGGAACATCGTCGGAACTCAGTAACGTGCGGTCGGCGCGGTGTTCGAACTATGTCTGATTCCGAGCAAAATGGCTGAGAGCCTGGCCACAAGGGTGCGAGCGGTACGGATGGTCATGGCAGGCCACGCCCCGCCTGGATCGGCGTGCCCATTGGCCAAGCTCAGAGGGTGGCATTCTAGAGACGTCACAGATGTGTGGACTGTCCTCTTCATTCTGTTCACGCATTAGCGCTGTCCTTGTTGGGCCCACTGAAAGTGAGGAAGGGACTTGAGCAGAGCGAACACACCTACACCTGTCTTTCTCTAGCACCCGCAGTAATGTTTAGTTCCTACACAATGCGGTGTACAGATCCGATACACATAACGGTTTAAGTGAACTGCTTTTGTATGTACGGGATCAAGGTATACTGAATTTGCATTGTAGGTAATCAATAAAAGCGCCACCAGATTGCTTATTTACGGGCTTAGGTTTTAATTAAACTGTTTTGAAAACATGGCGATACAAGAGAAGGTGAAAAACTGTTCACACGCCGAACGGATGTTCCATAGTTTTTGATTATCAAAATATAATTCATTACCACTTGCGTTCCACCCACACTAAAACAATAATAAAAGGGATGCCGCAGCTGGTTGATTGATAACTTAGATAAAAAAATAACAAGAAATAGACGCTCAAAGTTCCAAGTTATTTATTTTTACCCATGCAGCTGTTACAAAAACAAAATTCTCTATTTTTTCTGCTAAATTTCTCGGTCATTTCCATTATTTATTTGATATTGATGACCAATTTCAAAAAAATTGAAATTGAAATAGTTAGCCATACGTATATTTGTATAAATTCGATCTAGCCATGTCCGACTGTCCGTCCGTCTGTATGAACGTCGAGATCTCGGAAGGTATAAAAGCTTGAGCAACAAAGCCACGCCCACTAATCGTGAAGGTGTGTACTTTCACTCTGTGACCTGTTAGACCGTAGCTATTGGGTTTTGGTGGATGTTTCGGTCATATCTATCGGTAGCTATATTTTTAAAAGCTATTGTCAATTTATATTTAGCTTATGACGTCCCGCATATTAAAAAACGGAGTTCGATCATGAAGTGCACGCACCTAATTTGTGAGAGCAATTTGCAATGTGCGTGCGGTTCTTACTGTTCATGTGTGCTCTGCCACTGCTCTGCAAAAGATAATGCTACTGGACTTTAGTGTTGTCCAGGCAGTTTAGCAGACGTCGCCAGTTATAACCTGATTATTTTCTGAGGGAATATTTATTTGGATATTTGTTAACTATTTAGCGGGTATAAAACAATCGGGGAACTTGACTATAGCGTTCTCTCTTATTTTCACCTATTTTTCTGATTGTTCACATGGGAGTTATATGATCCAATCCGTCCAGTTTCGACTTATATACCTGCAAACGAAATAAGACTTAAGCTTTAAAAGTAAAGAATACTTTTGCGTAGAAACGAAGAGAGAGACGGACAGAGGGTCTTGGCTTTATCGACTCTCCCAGTGATGCAGATCAAAAATATATATACTTTAGAGCGTAGAACATGTCATTCACTGCGTTGCAAATTTTTATTTAAATTTATATTTATTTATTTTTTTAACTTTTTAAGAAAACCCACTGGCTTAACGCTTTTTCCCGCTAGCTTTAAAACGCCAAAGTTTCTAAACGCCATGTGCGCTTTTCAGAATTTTGCAATAAAACCGCCTGTGTAGCCACAAATGCCTAAATTCTTTGTTGAAGTAGGACGCAAGTGAAACATTAAAAATGTGTACAAATTTATTCGAATGCTAAATCATTTTTCGTCACAACATTTTATAACAGAAATTTTGTACGTTGGAGGTGAGATCGTCCCGATTTTTTACCTCTTTAAAAGGTTTTTTTTGTTTGGTACAATATAGCTGCTATAGATCGACTTAACTTAAATGTTTTAAAAGTACAGCTGTAAGTGTATATAAATTCGACATGCCGAAGTTTGGTTACTTTCTTGAATCTATTAGTATACCACGATAATCGTTAGTACTAGAACACGAAATTTCTACATTATTTTTCCGAATTTTTTTCAAAACAAAATTCTTCGTTAAATTACAATGACTTGCAAATTTAATCGATGAAATCCTCCAGAGATCAAACCTTGACTTTCCGGTGCAGACTCCATTATGATTTTAAAAATTACACTCAACATTTTTTGTATGGTACCATTTCCCTATTTTCAATTTTATTTTTATCTCCAGATCTGTTTTACCAATTTCGGTCATCGAAACTTTCCCATACATGTTTAAAGATAGGTTTCCTAAAATAGTTTGAATAAATTAAGTTAAGTTCCGACAGCATAAGCTAATTCTTAAAAAATACACGCCTGAAAACCGAAAATAATTTTATCACAATAATATATTATCACAATCCTATGTAACTTCGTGAGTTTTAATCCGCATTTTTTAAAACCTTGACCAAACCATCTCGAAATTAAAAAAAAAAAATGTTTAATTTGATGGGTAAATTAATTTTCACCACACGATGAGCTAACACATTAGCAACCAGCCCACATATCTACTTTGCTTTTAATTGACAGAGATCATATTCTTTTGGTAGGCAATTTTTCTATGTGTAAATAAAACTCAAAATGTTTTATTATTTCTAAGCAAAATCAATAAAATTAAAATAAATGAAAATAATAATTTTTTTTTTTCAATATCGCTTATAATGTTATTTATTTGTTTTTTTTACACTTCCTTGGAAAATACTTAAGGGGTACTTCAGAAGCGTTCTAAGTAAAGGTTCCCCGGTATTTGTGTTTTGAACAGTTTTATTATTTTAAATCTACCTACTCCACGCACATTGTTAAAATCTTAATCTTGTCGACTCCTAGCCAAAATTGCCACCTTTTTTGGGATTTCCAGTCGCAAAACCACTTTAAAAGATTGCCAGCAATGCGATTAAGATTTGCAAAATAATCCCCCTTTGTCATTCAATACATACATCTCATCTTACCAAAACTGAAAGACTATATGAGTGAACAGTTTTTTCAAATCACTATTATTGTTTGTACTCGACACTTTCTTTTTAAAATCGCAGGCGATCACAATGACATCTATTATTGCTAAATGGGGTTCTTTAGAAGACCAGCCTAATGAAAACCACTTATAATTGTTCTTTGTTGAGCGCGAGTATTTATGTAAATAAACCATTCACACATTTCGTGAGCTCGTCCGGATTAGAGCCAGAGTCCTGCATAAATTGAAGTGCTTGCTTTATTCTGCCAACTCGCTTTTATATGTTTTAGTGACTGGTATGATCCAAGTTTCAACTACAAACATAAGGCTATGAACTCCCCTATGTTCCTCAGTACAACTGGGCCAGAAGATGAATCTCAGAAAAATGTCTAAATAGAAATCTTAAATACTAACTATACTTCTATGGATCGTGCATTTAAAAAGAAATAAGGGAGACGTCTGTCACGTCACTCTGAGTCAAGTTAGAAGTACTTTTGTACTTTTTTTTTATTCTATCTATTATTTTAGAAGTTATAGGGTTATTAAGTCTTTTGCCGCCGCTCTGCCGCTGCTCGGCCGCTGCTCTGCCGGTAATCGCTGATGTTGAGAGACAGAACGAAAGAACTGTTAGCGGTAGATGGGGGGTCTGCATTCTCTTATTGCTGACTATGCAGTCCGACAGATGGCGCCACCTGAACTCCGAATATTTAGTTTGAAATTTTTTAGCTGAGTAAAAGGTTTCTAGTAGTAGGGGATCTCGACTAGCGAATAGCGTTCTTTCTTGTTAATTTAAAAATTTGGTGGTAGTTGAATTAAAAAAGAACATATATTCTTACGTATACTTGTCAAATCCTGTATCAACTAATATAGTATTCAACTTGAATTAAACCTATTCGCATATTTAAATGGTATACAACATTTAAACATTAAACATTTAAGAACTATTAATTTATAATATGATACTTAGATCTTATAGATTTCGGAATATTATTTGTGGTTTCTGCTTTGCTGGAAGAAAAGAATGAATCTTGAACGCATACATTATTAGGAGACTTCGCCATCGATTGCCATCGGAACGCCACTTGCAGGATGACTTATCAAATTCCTGAATTCTAGCTATCGTCGAACTCCATCCCACAGTAAAGTGAAACGTGTGACCGCTTCAAAAATTGATAAGAATCGTTTCCAAATGTATGGGAGCAGGTGCGTTACGTTCCCTTTATAATGTTCTTATTTTAGTTTTTCTCAGACTGTGTTAGGACAGGCAAGCCAATCTTTTCAAATAGAAATTCAATGAAGCTTTTTATGCATTTTATAGAAGCAGAACTGGCAACAATCCTACGAAAAATGTTCTGATTGGAGAATTAAGAAAAATTTCACCGCTATAACATTTTTGCACAATCGATTTCTAAAATTCTTTAAGCCATCTAGTACTAAAAAAATATTGATAAAAGAAACAGCGATCGAAGTGACCGCCAGCAGGGAACGCAGCTCCATCGTTTACCAACTTCTCATCTCTCCCATAAAAGCATCAAAAATAATAAAATTAATAGGAAAAATTAATTTAAAAAAAATTATAAATTTGCTGTTTTTTAATATTTTTTTAGTTCTTCGACATATAGTAATGGTAATATATTTATTATTGAAGGATACATTTCCGATTCTATCAAGTATATATATTCTCGATCAGCATCACTAGGAGAGTCAATCTAGCTATTTCCGTCTATCCGTCCGTTTATATGCAAACTAGTCTCTCAGTTTTAAAGCTATCTGCATGAAACTTTCCCAAAAGTTGTCTTTCTATTGCAGGTAGTATATAAGTCGGAACGAGCCGGATCGGACGACTATATCATATAGCTCCCATAGGAAAAATCGGAAAAATAAATTTAAAAACAATTATAAATTTGCTGTTTTTTAATATTTTTTTAGTTCTTCGACATATAGTAATGGTAATATATTTTAGAATAACGGTTTAAATTTAATCAAAATCGGACGACTATATCATATAGATGTAAAAACTATAAAAATATAAAAAAAAATTGTATTTAAATGTAATTTTTATATTTTGTAATTTTTGTACAAGTTTTTTTTAAGATAACAAGAAAAGAAGCAAACAAACTGAAGTTTGTTCACCCTTACAGCTTTGCATAAATCAAATATACTTTAAAACGTCTAAATTTCGAATTATTTTTTAAAACAATGAAGCTACGATGATTTTCAGATGAATCGTTCGATCGTTTCTATGGCAGCTCTATGAAATCAATTTCCGATTTGAAAAAAAATTAAAAACGTAATTCTGAATTTTTCGTCAAGCCGAAGTTTATATACTTTTGCAGCTATTGCAAAAATTAAACATTTAAATTTAGAACTACATGAGTACACATTAAAAACCATTGAAGCTACGAAAATATCAATGATATATGATAGCGTTTTCCGATTTTAAAAATTCCTATGTTCAAAAGAATTACTAAAAAAAATTAAATTTAGAAAAGAAAATATTTTTTTTTCGTTTATTTTTAATATTCCAATTGTTTTAGTTGCTTAAGCCATTTTCATATTTAAGGCAAATTTTTCGTTGGTACAACTGCATACTTACTTTATTGAATGATAATTTAAATGATTCTTGTCAAATAGAAGACCGTAATGCGTGCAAATTGTTTGATAATCACCAGTCCCAAAGGAGTTGATGAATTTCGTCGAGTCTTAACTAACAATAGAAAATACATACATCCTTGATAACCAACGAAATCAGATACGGGGGTAGAAAGCATACACTCGCAAAAA